AATAGTATTAATACGTAGTAACGTAATAACGGACGTAAAAAAAATAAACAAAAGATTCTATAAAAAACAAAAAGTTTTAAAATTTTTAACTAAATAGTTCTTAACTAAATAGTTCTTAACTAAATAGTTCTTAACTAAAAAAAAGCTTATAATAATATTTAATACTAATAACAGGTAATAAGTAATAAGACTATAAACTAGTAACTAATAACTAGTAATTTTAAGTAGTCCTAAGTAAAAAAAGGTATTAATAAGTGCAATAAACTATTACGACTTCTGGAATATTAGTAGTAACGTAGGAGTAAGTTTTAAATACTTGTTATCGCATAAGGAGCTCTAACTACTATGCCTACAGGCTGGATATCTATATATAAAGTGTCCCCTTTGTTCTATAGCTGTAAGTATTGCAAAGTATCGCAAGGTATCGCGAGAGTGTGACACATTTCTAATAGTACGACTAGCCGTTTCACATAGACTGGGGGGGATATTCTAGCATTCCATACCAGATTCTCAACACCTAATCAAGATAAATGTGTAGTTTCATCCGCATATACATATACAACGTGCTCGCTAAGAGCATGCCGGATATAAATCGAGATACTGGCCAGAGCAGACTGGCCCTTTACTTCGTATGTTGCTGAAAGCCCCCGACTCCGAACCCCACGAAACATCACACATTATGGCCTCGTTTGCTAATATCGCGATGCTTAGACCATATCCCCACCGACGACCAATATTATTCTATCGCGACTCGAAGCTTATTATGAACTTCCAGCCAGATTCTCTATTCGATAGAGAACGGTACCCGCGACCCTTGGACTTCCCACGTTGCACCGCTGCTCAGATAAAAGCTCTGGAAGTGGTTCAAGCCGTTGCAGAAGCGCATTCCTACCGCTTTACAACCCAGACCGGAGACTTCTATTTCCTATATTACATGGACGGGAAGAGTTCTCTGATGACGAGGGCAACAAAAGGCATCTTGTCAGGATGTGGTTAAGGAATGAGAAATTGGGCTGGGATATCCCCGACGTCCTGAAGACATTGTGGGCGGTCATCTTTGAAGGAGATGCCAAGAGGACATGGACTATCGAGCCAATGCCAGAGAGTTTCTTTCCTTTGAAAAGGTATGCGAATTGACGTTTTCGAATCGGAGTATCACAAAGTGTTACAGTACCAAGGTAGTACTACATAGTACAAGATAGTCAGCCGTATCGATAGGGAATTTGAGACTTGGCGCTTGACAACGTCATATTGTCAGGGGACCCTTGAAGATAATCCTCCTGCACCTTAGCTACACATATGTACACTTCGCATGATGATTGCGAAGGCCCTGATAAGGCTTTGAATTCTAGCCAATTACTTTAATTGGGAAGTTTGAGTATCGTAAATCTCTAACAAGCCAAGAACATATAAACAATAAAGATTTAAATATCGGTGCACAAGACAATAGCTACGTATGTATTGTACATGGGTAGCTGCTGTGGATTCAACTTTGAATGGTTCATGCCAGGTACTGTGGGGACGCGTTTTCGGAACAGGGACCCCCCTGCGCTACACAGCTTAGCTTGGCCGTCTTTCTGCTCGCTTCAACCAATCCCCTCGTCCTCTTCCTCTCTCCGCCCTCCACTCCACCGTCATCACTCCTTCACGAGCTGATGCGCTGATCACTTTTTGTTTGGTCGAGCACACCAAAGCAGCCCATATACAACAGCTTACTTACATCTGTATATCTAACTCCCTCTGCCCCTAACTACGTGAGTGAAATTTGCATTCTCGTCTGATAGTCTGTCTGTCTAGTTGGGTATTGAACAATTACTATAGTCGGTGCCGCTTCGGTTGGCCAAGTGCTCGCTGCCCGATGCATCGCCAGAATGGCCACCTCCTCCACGCTCGCACCGCCGTCATAGGCCTTGCCAGAGCCCTGTTTGCCGGTCTTGCTGCCGCAGCCCCGGCTACCCGTCCCCGAGACCTCCTCTACACCCGCGACCACCATGACAACGCCCCCGAGGCCGAGGGCAGTGCCCTATGGGTGCTCTATGTCGTCTCCATGGTCCTCGTGCTCCTCGGCGGCGCCTTTGCCGGCTTGACCATCGCCCTCATGGGCCAGGACGATATCTACCTCCGCGTCATCTCCCTCGATCACGAAGAGCCTCAACACAAGAATGCTAGCCGTGTTCACCATCTGCTCAACCGCGGCAAGCACTGGGTCCTCGTCACCTTGCTCTTGTCCAATGTCATCGTGAACGAGACACTCCCCGTCGTTCTAGATAGGTGCTTCGGCGGCGGCGTTGCTGCAGTTGTTGGTAGCACCGTTTTGATTGGTAACTGACCCTCTCTCTACTCTCTCACCCCGTCAAACCCCTCCAAAAACCCATCAGAGCTCCCAATTCCACTCTCTTGTCTATCATGCTAACCATGTTTTGTCTGTATCCAGTCATCTTCGGTGAGATCATACCCCAGTCTCTATGTGTCCGGTATGGACTTCAGATTGGCGGCTACATGGCGAAGCCCGTCTTGCTCCTCATGTACTTGATGGCCCCCGTGGCCTGGCCTACCGCGAAGCTTCTCGACTGGCTTCTCGGCACGGATCATGGTACCATTTACAAGAAGAGCGGACTCAAAACTCTCGTGACCCTGCACAAGACCCTTGGTGAGGTCGACGAACGATTGAACCAGGACGAGGTCACTATCATAAGTGCCGTACTGGATTTGAAGCGCAAGCCCGTCGAAGAAGTCATGACGCCCATGGACGACGTATTTATCATGTCTGAAGACACAGTTTTAGATGAGAAGACTATTGATCAAATTCTTGATGCTGGTTATTCTCGAATTCCTATCCATCAGACTGGCAATCCTACCAATTTCGTTGGCATGCTCCTGGTCAAGATTCTCATCACCTACGACCCCGAGGACGGAAAACGCGTAAAGGATTTTGCCCTCGCCACCCTACCTGAGACGCGTCCCGAGACCAGCTGTCTCGACATAATCAATTTCTTTCAGGAAGGAAAGTCTCATATGGTGCTCATCTCGGAGTATCCTGGTAAGGACCACGGTGCCCTTGGCGTTGTGACTCTAGAGGACGTCATAGAAGAGCTGATCGGAGAGTAAGTGACCGTGAAGACCAACTATGTGTCTCAGATTACTAATGGAGAATTTCCAGAGAGATCATTGACGAGTCTGACGTCTATGTTGATGTGCATAAAGCTATCCGCCGAGCCCACCCTGGGCCCCATGCTCGGGCGCAACGGAGAGACTTAATGGTGAAGGACACTGCCGTTAGAGAAGGCGTACTTGTTGACTTGGCCGAGGAAAATACGGAGGGGCAAGACGATCAGACAAGCCAACTCAGACGAACCCCGTCTCTAAATGGGAGATCAGAAGGCTCGCTCTTATCACAGAGTCCGAAGGCGACATTGCTGCGCAGGAGAACCTCCGCCGACCACCATGGCAAACTGGTGCACTCGACCGTCCCGGTCAAAGCAAACTTCGAGGATATGAGGAATCACTTGAAAAACCTTGGCCCATCTAACCGGGCATCCAACCCAAAGGCCACTAGAGTCTCGGCTGTCAAAATCAAGCCAGGCTTAGCTGCCAGCCCACCACCCAATCAGCCAACTGTAGGCGTTATACCAGAGGATCCTAATAGTAGGATAGATGAGCGCACAAGTCTATTGCGGCCTCAGCTGACTGCCAAGGATGGAGTTCAAGCTTTACACCAAAGCTATTATGGATCTGAGACTCCTGGGAAGGGAGATTTAACAAAGCCCACCATCGTCACAGCAGATATCAGCCAACCTTCGGGCATAGAAACGACGTCCAGCGAAAGCAATACATCCCCGACAGATAACGGTGATGGAGAACCGACTGTGCGTCGAAGAGGCCACGTTCGAAGCGGCAGCATCACGGAGAACATTGTGGAGGCCGGTGGCATACGAAAGGTAGTACTCGAGGCGAACAGCTCTTCAGAATCCGAAGAAGACGACGCAGACCAAAGTCAGACACCAGGAACGCCATCCGATGGAGACAAGTCCCCTAACAGCAACAAAAAGAAGAAGAAAAACCGACGTAACAAGAGAAGCAGCGGGTCATAGAAACACCACGTGCGGCGGCGACTGCGGCGGCGGAAACTCAATCGGCCATAATATTTCTTTTTTTTTAAAAATACGAGCAGCAGCATTCGCGTCACTTTAGCAAATGTATAAAGTAAATCTCTGTATTACACGAATAATACTCTTAACGGCAAAGCTAGTCGGGATTGTTGATGACGGACGGATGGGCCGGTGGAACTAGGGAAGCGAACAAATGTGTGTTATTGTAATAGTATAGATTACCAATAAGCAAATGTTGACAACTTACCTCCCTTTCGAGGTCCAAGTTTACTTCTCTAGTTCTAATCACTGCTGCCGTTTTAATTTTCAGGCAGCTATATATAATACGCGCTGGAGGGTTGATGTATTCGAGCATTGTTGTTCGCCATACCAATGCCTATTTATTATCTCTTGTTGGGACTCGTTGTTCCCAACATGCTTCGCTCATAGGTGTCTGTAATTTTGAACATGGGTTTGGTGTGTCACAGCAAGATTCTAAGATATCACAAGGACCCCGAGAACCAGACGACAAGTTCCAATTGCCAATATTGGTATTACACTGAGAAGAGTAAAACAGTTTGCATATAGTACATAAGCTAACCTAGACATCTAGCAATCCACTAGAGAATCGCTAAGTGTAGCACTTCATGCCGTAACGAACATATAACGATTGGAAGACTACAGCATACTATTGCGAAATTCAACACCACACGACCTTTATTTCCCTACCCAATGCGTGCCTATACCCATCCCTCACACTATCAAAGTACAACGAGGTTATTGCTCAATAATCCCTGACTCTCAGCATGGTATCTCCTCCTCATACTCTTGGAATATGCGTAGTTGAAGTTAAAAGTTACTGTGTTGTCTATATTACACGAAATTCAGGGGAAAGCATAGGTAGTAACAGCAAGTCCTGTGGGGTAGTGGTCTAGCCCAGCGTATGATCACGTCTAGAAACCGCAGACGCTGGTTCGAATCCAGCCAGGACTTTTTTCATGACTTTTCATTCATATATTATATCGTTACTTCCTCAGTTATTATCAACACCCCCCTGACCCCTCTTCTCAACATATATTAAAGTAGCATGATTGGACTTTGGCTTACATTAATCACCTACGAGGGGTTTGTCCTCACGTCAGGAGGTATGCTGTAAAGGCCGTTTCAATGTATAAAGCACGGCAATGGAAGATAGATTTGTTTCCTTATCCAGAAAAACTTCCCAACTCTTAGAAAGGATAACTCCTTTCCATCAATATTTGTTGTGCTATATTACGATCTAACTTCATTTTTATTCTCCATCTCGTGAGTTGTTGGACTCTTTGTTCAGCTACGCATACCAACAAAGCCATTTTTGCATACTCGAAACTTACTTCTCTGCTATCGTGCTCTCTTTATCTGGTGAAGTCTTTCAGTATTGTATATATTCTACTGCTAGTGACCCGACAGCAAGCCAGGGAACTGTCAGGGCCTGACGCGTCCCGTTAAGCAGTTTTTGGTCCGCGAGATCATCAGACTCTAGCTGACGCTATAAGGGAGAGCTGAGTCGGAGGTTGATCGGAGAACGCAAATTGCCGATCTTCGAATATTCGTGTATAACTAGAGAGCAAATGACGAGATCGAATATTCGACTGCAAGTACTCCTTTAGGCCCAAAGAGAATTGTTAATTAAGTTAATGCATCGTTTTGTCAACAATTGATTGTTGGCTTTGTTCTCTTCAGATCAAAGTCAACCCGTTAGTCTTCGTTGTTCTAGGCACTAGTTTCCTTCACATATTGTATTGTCGTGAACAAAGCTAGGCTACCCATATAATAACTATCATAACCCTCATAACTACGGGGCTTGAGACTGCATTCCTACTATTTCACATACATATTTCCTTCCCTCCTACTGTTCTTCTTACCTAACCAGGAAAGTCTGCCTGTTATTCGTGGAGACCAGTCAAATTAACATTTTACACTACAAAGTAGGTACAGTAGGCGGTTGGATTCCGCCCAGTTTCACAATACAAAATGGGTCTCGATTTTGACTTCAATGCCCCTCTCTCGCCTACACACGGCAGCAAAGGTGCCGACAACGAATTCAACGCACCAATGCCCCCCTACGGCAGTGGTAGTATAATTGACCCCTTCATTATTGATGTTTCGGACTCTGGCAAAGATGATGTCCAAGATTTGCCGCCACCTGCCTACGGAGACGGCGTCGGAAGCGAGACAAGGAGTGATTTCGGAGTCAACCTACAATCGACTCTTCACAGTGATATCGGCCGGCTCTACGAGCTTTTCGGTCTTACTAAGTCTACCATGGCAGGCAATAGCGATGTTCCCCCCCTGGTGGGAGATGACGCCAATTCTCCCATGAGTCTTGATGACACCGCAGGATTCGAACAGGATATTTATTTCACTGAGTCTTCAGAGACGACATACGCCAGTCGAGATATCGCGCTAGATGAGCAGGTCAAGTTTGACAGAGTCGCCCTGCTAGTGGCAGACGACGACAACGACGTCGTGATGGCAGACGTGCCCATGGCAGGTATTGCTAACTTCGACGACATCTTAAGCGTATTTACTATTCCCGGCAGCGAGACGATACAAGCACCGGTGCTACCAAACAGCACTACAGATGCCCCACTACCATCGTGGATGATGGCGGTCCTTCAACCTGGTTTCCTACAGGAATTGAGGGTGTGCAATCTCAAGGAGATCACACTTGAGAAGGATAAGATACATTTCTCTTTTGCGTGAATTTCAATGTGTCTGGTTGGTAAGCTATACCACGAAACGATTTTTCTTTGTCTTGATTTCTCTTTCTTTTTTCTCCTTTCGTTCTTTCTAACCATCTGGATCCTGCGGTGCGGTGATGTCCCAAGTCTCCGTGAAGTTCTCGTTTATGGCGATAGCTTAATGGGATCTTCGAGATTGCAGCAAAATGTTAAATAGGAAAGCTTGGGAACTATTGCTTCAAAACTCGCAATACTATATTTCACCATTTTATTATGCCATTGCTCTATAAAGAACGTGCTGTTATTGATATACGGGATATTTGTTAAACTTATTAAAAGGTTATTCTGAAAGCTAAGTAGTCAGCTTTTCTTAAAGTTTAAGTAACTTGTTAGATATTTGGGCCTACTTTAAATACCATTATTACTAAGAGACAAATATGTTCAACTTCATCTAAGGACTCTGATTCTGTTGTCTTAGGTTCTGGCACGTCACTGATATGGGTGGGTTATCAACGCGACATGTTTTGGAAGGGTGTCTGGATATGCCACGCCGTCTTTGGCAAGATGTTCGAAGGAAGTATCCGCAGAACGTGAGGTTTGTTATTAAAGGCCTACAAATATGCCTGCCTCTCCAGAATCCATTAATTTCCCTCTTCCCCTTCCTCTAACCGAACCCGTTGAATCCCAGTGAGAAAATTTAGGAATCACGGATTTTCCGACTGTGATAATTTTATATGTGAGATATTTTATTCATACTTAAAGTCTTTGTGTAAACCGTATATTTCATTAACTAATATCACGCTTATGTACAGACTACGATACGCACCATCAAGGCGTCCTCAATTTGCTCGAGCATCATGAGCAACCAATGTAACCCAGCTGGCAGCAAAGATCGTGACCAATCCAGTTCCTGGCGCGGCCGAAATTGATGCATCTACTCACATAACACACAAGGATTATCCTGTCCCCAACTCCGCGAACACCTCTACTACTCTAGCTAACTCCCGGATGCTTCTTCTGTAATGTCCATAATATTTCGACATTATAAGTTAGGTTTAAGCATGAAATAAAGACTAGCGAATAACGCCCGTCTATCTGATTTGTCCTTGTTCTTTCCACTTTTAGTACTCAGCCATTTAGACATACCCCCCAAGCTTTAATAAACCGTCAGGAAACTAGTACATGGCCACCCTAGGGTATAGAACTAGTGGATTCTGTGTATATAAGTGACTGAACCCCCTTGATTTAGGTGGTTCAGGAATCAATCAATAACTCTTTCAAGCCCTAAATACCTTCCTGGCTGCAAGCAGGTCTCTCTATTCACGCAGGGCATTTACCTCGACAAGTGTGTTGTACTGGGGGGTCACGCCAGCCAGAGCCAAACCAGGAGCCTTGTTGGCAACCTGGCATGACAAGGACGGTGTATGCAAGCTATCTAGTTAAATTAAGAGTTATATGTTGCTGTTAAGATGTCCTCCTGTCTAGCATTTGTTGATCAAAACGTTATTACATAGTTACTCACATGACTATTTATATGTTTATTCGGATGGCTATTGTTTCCTAAGATGGCTTATGCAAAAACGCTATTACAGTCAGCACTATCATTTCATCTTACACCTCCCACACAAGAAGATAGCTATCACAGAGCATGAACACCAAGGTTGTCAAAGCAACCATGCTTATTCCCTCTCTAGCGGCACCGGCATGTGATAAGTGCACCGAAGCACACGGGATATACCGAAAGGCCAGAATGGTGTCCCTAAAGACGCCATCCTGATAGATATTATCCTACCGAAATACAGGTTGTCAGACAGTCTCGATCAACGACTTTCTACCGGTATATAGTCCTACAAACTGGTAGTTGGCAACATTACGGTCATCGACTTTCACCCTCTAATTTTATGCCTGACGTGCTGGCCCTCTAGCAAGTTGTCTGTTCACAACCCGAGTCTACCTCTAGCCGCAATGTCAAGGTAAGGCTCTAATAAGTCTGATCAATACCCGGCCAGTATTGTCTCGATCAAACACGTTCTACTCGTTTACAGTCCTACCACATATGGTCTTGCCAATGCAGACTTCCTACCGATGAGGGATAATACCTAACAGAACCAAGGCACATATCGTCAGTAGGTGACCTTCTTTGACTGACTTATAATTAATGATGGATACTGTCAGCAGGCCATTATAGGCCGGATGGAGATTTATTAGAATATATGAGAATGCCGCTGGTTACGTGAATAACAGGGTAGAATCACGGACACCATCCCGGAAAAGCGCACTGCAGACAAGATACGGATACCCGAGTTTCACTCTTATAGCAATATACATAGTGTATTACATAGTATAAGGTTGCAGTCATTGATTGTTCTCATGATGATTGACTAACTCGGATCCATCGCTCTCTATGATCTACTATACAGGTAACCACGAGAGATATTATTCTTCCCAGGGGGGACCATCTCTCATCGCTAACAGAGCAAGCTCTACACCTAACCATCGACGTTCTCAGCATAGCGAGGCCACTCCGTCCACAAACAGGCTATTCTAGAGCATCGTACCCCAGTCTTCGATTCCCATTTTTAACTGAACTTGGTGTTCTCTACAGCTTCCCCTTAGTCTTAGCCGCCTCACGAGTCAACTGCATACTCCTCAGCAAAGCATACATACTCTGCAACCTCGGCATCTCAACACCCGCCTTCCTCGCAATCCTGACCGGATTTCCCAGTATAACCTCTAACTCCATGGGCCTGCCCGCCTCCCAATCAAGCAACATGCTCGGCTTGGCGCCGGCATTCCGCTCATTGCTGCGGATAATCCGCTCAGGCGTCGCCAGGGTGTCGGGAAAGGGCGCCCCCAGCACCGCGGGCGCGGCATCCCAGATCTCCGCCATCACGGCCGCCACGTGTGACCGCAGCTCCGAGTCTGTCAACTGGTCTGCGTTGCCCCGGCCCCCGGATAACACGGCTGTCGAGTTGAAGGCTGCGTTGATGCACAGCTTGTGCCAGCGGATCGTCTGGAGCTCTAGTTCCGTGTGCGTTTCCACGTCGCGGATGCCTCCCAGCTCAGTCCACCAATGCGCCAGCCTCTCCATGCACTCGTGTCCCCCCGCGCCCAGCTCGTCATGACCGGATGCCTTGTTGGCTCCGAGACCGTGGGTATAGGGCCCCAGACTGATTCGCGTCCACCTGTTCTGCCGGATCACGCCCTGCGAGATCTGCTCCGCGCTGACGATCGTCACGGCGCTTACTATGGGGTTCTGTGGAAAGCGCT